ACTTTTTGACAAATGGTGCTGGAAACACTGGATAACTGAACATAAAAGAGTGAAGGTGGAACCTTACCTCATATCATGTATAATATTCAAAATGAATCAAATATTTAAATGTAAGAGCTAAAACTATAAAACTCTTAGGAGCAGAAAACATAAGGGCAAATCTTCATGACCTTGGATTAGGCAATGGTTTCCTAGATATGACACCAACAGAAAAAGCAACAAAATGAAAAACAAACAGGATTTCATTAATATTAAAATATTTTGTACTTTTTTTTTCAGTTTAACTTCTCCCATCAGAGTTTATTTCCTGAGATTCCCAGTACAGAAATTCTAGGAATTAAGGCAAGAAGACAATGCCAATCTTAAGCTCCTAGACCATGCAGGTTTTTCAGAGAAGTAATATTTGAGAACTCAGTTAACTATCTGGCCAGAGGCTATATCAAGTTCTCCAAAGCCCTCAAAGCAACAACTTAAAATAATCTCATACTTTCTCTCTAAAACCTCCCAGTGGAGTAGCAGTTTAATAAAGATTCCTATACTGTGGCTATAGGAATAGGCTTTTTTGAGAAACTAAAAATTCCAGTTTGCCCATTAAACATTAACCACCAGAAACATTAATGACCCATTAAGTTTCTACCAATTAAAGATACTTTATCTTAACTTGTTCTTCTCTTTGCTCTTAACAGATGTTTCCTTCTTGCATATGAAAAATATTTTCAGTGGTTTGGTTTGGTTTTGATTTTATTTTGTACTTTAAAGAACACCCTCAAGAAAGTAACAAGATGCCCTAGCTGGTTTGCTCAGTGATTAGATTATCGGCCTGTGGAATGAAGGGTTATGAGTTTGATTCCTGGTCAAGGGTAAGCTTGATCTCCAGTGCTTGTTGGGTGCATGAAGGAGATAACTAATAGATAAGTCTCTCTCATGTTGATATTTATCTCTTTCTGTCTCTCTCCCTCCATCCCAATCTTTCTAAAAATCAATGAAAAAAATACACTCAGGCAAGGAATAACAACATCAAGAAAAAGTAACAAGACAACTTTCAGAATGGGAGATAATATTTGGAAATCACATAACTGATAAGAGACTAGTATTCAGAATATATAAAGTATTCTTACAGCTCAACAAAAAAGAAAAATAACCCAATTAAAGGATAGGAAATGCACTTAAATAGACATTTCTCTAAAGACTATATGCAAAAGACTAACAAGCACACAAAAAGATGTTCAGCATTATTAGTTCTTAGGGAAATGCAAATCAAAACTACAATAATATACCACTTCATACCCACTGGAATGGTTATAATTTAAAAAGTGGAAAAATAAGTTTTTGTAAGCATGTGGAAAAAATGAAATACTTATGCATTGCTGTGGAAAACTGTTTGATAGTTTCCTCAAGAAGTTAAATATAGAATTACTACATGATTAAGCAAATCTACTCCTAGGTATATACCCCCCAAAATTGAAAACAAGTATTAAAAAATACTTGTACATGAATATGCATAACAGCATGATACATAACCATCAAAAGGTGGAAACAACCCCAAATGTCAATGGATGAATGAATAAACAAAATTTAGTGTATTTATACAATAGATTATTATTAAACTTAAAAAATATTGAAGTACACACACATAATATGGATCAACCTTGTAAACATTATGCTACATGGAATAACCAGACAAAAATGGTCATATATTGAATGGTACCATTTACACAAAACATCCAGAATAGGTAAATCCATAGAAACAGAAAGCAGATTAGTGACATCCAAGGTCTTCAGGGAGTAGGGAGTAACTGCTTAATGGGTAAAAGGTTTTCTTTTGGGATGATGAAAATGTTTTGAACTAGATAGAGGTGGTGATTGCACACATTCTGAATGTACTAAATGCCACTTGATTTGTTCACTTTAAAATAGTTTAATGTTATTTGAATTTCACCTCAATGAACAAAATAGGCATGAAGTATTGAGAATGTGAATAAGCCTTGAAAATATTACGTTAATTGAAAGAAACTTGGCACAAAAAGTAATATATTGTATGATACTATTTGTACAAAATGTCCAGGTATAATAATCTTTAGAGAAAAAAATAGTTGTCAAAGGCTGGGGGGAGGGACAAATAGGGGAATAATGAGTCATTGCTAATGAATATGGAGTTTTCTTTCTGGGGTGGTGAAAAAGTCCTGGAATTTAATAGTGACGATGCTTGTGTAACTTTGTGAATAAAATAAAAAACATAGAATTATTAACATTGGGAGGGCGAATTTATGGTATATGAGACAAAGAATAAAAAGAATTAAAATGTACTGTTTAAACAAAAATAATAAGGAAGTAGAATGATGTTTACAACATTAAAGTTACAGTATATATAAAACCCTAAACCCTAATATGCAAATAGACTGAATGGCAAAACAGCCAAACAACCTGTTGTTATGACGTGCACTTACCACCAGGGGCACACACAGAACAAGGTGAGAACCAGCCACAGTGGGTTGTTGGAGCAGGTGAGCAGGGATGCCAGACCCAGGGCAGGGGAGCACAGGTCACTGTCATCAGGATGAGCCTCTGGTTGTTACTGAAAATTCTTTACTGCCACACTCCGTGGTCCTGCCCTGTGTTCGTTCCCACTGCCCATGCCCAGTGCTGACCCCTATTGTTCAGCACTGGCAGTGGGTGAGAATGGTGGCCTCTGCAGGACCAAGCCTGCAGTGGTAGCTTCTCCACCTCCCTCTGTTCCTGAGGGGCAATCGGGGCAGCAGCTGTTCACACCTGCTGAGTGGCAGCAATGGGAGTGGGGCTGCTGGCAGACAGGAAACTAGGGGCCATAGCAGGAGGGGTCAGGCGGGGCACAGAGGATGGGAAAGACCCACCCCTGTGCCCACCTCAGCCTTATGGCCCACAGTTTCTTTCAAGGTGCATGAATTCATGCACTGGCCTTGTTTAATAAAATAATAATATGCAAATTGACTGTCACGCCAAGATACAAAATGGCCAACCCCATGTGGTCAAAGATGGCTGCCCCCATATGGACACAAGATGGCCTGCAGGGGAGGGTAGTTGTGGGCAGTTAGGGTTGACCAGGTCAGCAGGGGCGGGCAGTTGGGGGTGATCAGGCTGGCAGGGGAGGGCAGTTTGGGGGAACCAGGCCTGCAGGGGAGGGCAGTTAGAGGGGACCAGGCCAGCAGGGGAGGGCAGTTGGGGGAGACCAGGGGTTAATTAGGGGTTAGTGGGCTGACAGAGAAGGGCAGTTGAGGGGGTTCAGGCCTGCAGGGAGGACAGTGGGGGGAGGACCAGGAGAGCAGGGGAGGGCAGTTGGGGGGACCAGGCCTGCAGGGGAGGACTGTTGGGTGGGGACTGGGCCTGCAGGGGAGGGCAGTTGTGAGAGATCAGGCCAGCAGGGAGGGCAGTTGGGAGGTACCAGGAGAGCAGGGGAGGGCAGTTGGGGGACACCAGGCCAGCAGAGGAGAGCAGTTGGGGTGGGGGCCAGGCTTGCAAGGGAGGGCAGTTAGGGACAACCAGGCCAGCCAGGGAGCAGTTAGGCATCGATCAGGCTGGCAGGGGAATGGTTAGGGGGTGATCACTCTGGCAGGCAGAAGCAGTTAGGGGCTATCAGGCAGAGGCAGGAGAGCAGGTGGGAACAAGCAGTCCTGGATTGTGAGAGGGATGTCCCTGATTGGAGAGGGTGCAGGCTGGGCTGAGGGACACTCTGCCCCCCTGTGCACCAAATCGTGCACTGGGCCTCTAATATGAAAATAATAGCACAAAGATCAGGAGGGGAGAATTGAAAGTATACTATTGTAACATTTTAAGTATACATGAAGTGGTATTATATACCTTTGAATGTAGATTGTGATAAGTTAAATATGTATACCTAAACCCTAAAGCAGTCATTAATGAAAGAAAATGTTATAGTTAATGTGCCACCAAGAAGATAAATGATATCAGAAAAATACTTAATCCAAAACAAGTCATTAAAAAGTAAACAAATTACTAATGGTACAAATAGAAAACAAATAGCAAGGTAATAGATTTAAAACAAATCACATCAATAACCACACTAAATAAAGTCTACTAAAAGGCAAAGATTGTTAGATTGAATAAGAACATGAGATTCAACTATATGAAATACACTTTAAATATAAAGGCAGAAATAGATAAAAAGCAAAATGATGAGAAAAAATATACCTTACAAACACATACACAAACACAAACACAAAGAAAGCTGGATGGCTATCTTGCTATCTACATAAATTTCAGAGCAAAAACTATTAATATTTTCTCTACCATGTTACTGTTATCATGATGAGATCATTTTATCAAGAGTCTTAAATGTTTATGCACCTATTAATAGGTCTTCAAAATTGATGAAGCAAAAACTGATAGAACTGCAATGAGAAAAACCTTAGCACAGATATTGGTTTCTCAAAACAGGAGAATGATGTATTTGCGAAAATGTCTTTAGGCTGTTATCTCTTTCCACTCCATAGAGGAGTTTTCTGTGCTACTGCTGGCTTTAAGGTGGGCAACCACTGCCATGTCTGAAAGTACATAATCAATCCAAGGTTATATTTAAACCAAGTAATCACAAAGCCTGGCTTCTTACTGTACTGATTACTATAAGCTAAGCAGAATTCTGTTTTAGCTTATATGGTTTCTACCTAGTCTTTCACCTTTCTAGCCTCTCTAAACCAATAAGTAACCACATACTACATGGCCCAGCTAGCTTTATATTTATTCATATGATTCACAGACTACATTTTTTTCTGACAGAAGTAAAATAAGGAAAGTTACTAAATGTGCAATATGGTTAATGGAGGTTATAGTTAGTAAATTCATGTTCCTTCTTCATGTGCTTATGTATAGTAATGTAAATGTATAGTGATGTAAATAAAATACAACTCCTAGAAAGGACTACTTATTGATATGCAGACATGCAGTCTATCTGTAAATGTGCAGACTTTTACATATAGATTGAAGACATACACAACAAACCATCCTTACAACATATGGTATCTTTAATGAAATTGATATTGGTGAGTTTAAAAAGCATTGAGAATATGATAACTAGGGAAATCAGTTACTCTATGACTATTTATAATAAAATGTTTAGAATAAAAAAGAGTAAGAAACATCAATTGGTTTTATAATTGAAAAGAGAAAACTAACCAAATATTGTCTTCTCAGTTCTTGTATAAGCAGAGGCTATAAAACAATAATTCTTGCATAAGAAGCACACAGAAAAGAATGATCGTTTTTGTATATTTTTGTTTCTCAAAATTATTTTAGGAGAACTTTGCCTAGTGAAGGGTGAACAAAACAAAATGTAAGAAACATTAAAATGGGGGACAACTGGTGTTGAGTGTGTTGGAGAATATAGCAAAAAAGAAATTGCTCCATTAGATATTATAATTTGGTACATAACACAAACATTTAAAATTATGATTACAATGACTTTTTAAAATAACCTATATTTTAAAAAGTCAAATAAGAACTTAGGGGATAAAATTCAAAATAAATTTACTCTCAGTAGTAACTTCATGCAATATAAATTTTCTTACTTTGATAAACATGGATATAAAACCCTGCTCTCTGTACTCTAGGGTTTCCTATATTTTTTAATAAAGATTGACTTATATCAGGTCACATTTAAATGATTCAACATTGTGAGCTTTTAAACGGCTGTTTATACAATATACACATTCTTTACTTACAGAGCAAAATAAGCTTAACACTTTTATATTAAAAACCATAGATAGAGTAGGATTAGTAGCACCATGAAAAATAATTCTTCTCCCAATTTCAGTCTTTTATTTTACTCAGATTCATCCCTTAATTGAATTTTTAACGTGCCATTTTAGTTACTGGGCAAAATATATAATCTTCATTTTATAATTCTTACAGAAAGTTATCCTGGACCCATAAAGTGAATTCATATCCTTATTTCTTTTGTAGAATAATAATAGCAACCTTGCTCTTGTACATTGCTGAGGTACATATGAATCTTCATGGTTACTAGTTAGCATGTCTTCTTGGTCATATATAGTAGCACCATTGTTGGGCAACAGTGGTAAAGTTGGGGAGAGTGAAACATTGCATCCTGGGAATTTCACATATATATGTCCTTTTCAAAATATTATGTCCTTTTCATGCACACTTGACATCGGCTAATACGTGTCCTCAAGTCTCCTGTCTTCAGCGTTTCTGACTGAGGTTTGCTGGGAAATAAGAAACAAGACAATCAAATTAGCCTTTTCTGGTACTTATATTATTGGTTCAAATTCACATGCAAACATAATTTTTGAGAGCTTATTTGGAGGTTCTAGCAGGGGAGTGCAGCTACTCATATATCCTTGACTGAAGACCAGTCCTCTACTCTTGGGGAAAGCTCATCTTCTTCCAATAGAGCGCGCAGCTGCAGCTTCTTGAAGGACACACGGGATGGGTGAGAGGAGGGGAATATCTGCCTAGCCAACCAGATCAGCTAAATCAACCCTGGTGATCAATGGAGTGACAGATGTCACAGCCAGATCACTCTCGCATCTGCAAACATTGTTTTTGTGTTGAAGGAGCTGTCCTGATGAGTAATGGTTAACTTTTGAGCAATATGATCAAGTACAGTGAATAGTATGACCTAAGAACAATTACTGGTAGGTATTTTTGTGACTTTTCTCTGTACCACTATTATCTTTGTCTATTTGTATCCACATCTTATACATTTTTGTAATAGTCCTATAATCAGGAGATTCTGGGCAACTGATGATGAATAAATGATAATACATAAGACATGCATAAAGATAACACATAAGAAAACATTAAAAAAGCAACATATAAAATATATTTAAACTGAACAAAATCCAATAGATTTAAGTATCCTAAGGTACATGTGTTATAAGTGTTCTCCCTAATAAAAACACTTGAATGAGAGGCTTGAAAACATCCTGGGAAAAGAGTTCATTGGACTGGCAGAGGAAACACAGATTATAGCTTCAATTCCTGGATGGCCTCCATCTAGTTAAACAGCTGCTCAGCTGAAACCGGTTTGGCTCAGTGGATAGAGCTTTGGTCTGTGGAATGAAAGGTCCCAGGTTCGATTCCGGTCAAGGGCATGTACATTGGTTGTGGGCACATCCCTGGAAGGGGGTTTGCAGGAGGCAGCTTGTCGATGTTTCTCTCTCATTGACGTTTCTAGCTCTCTATCCCTCTCCTTTCCTCTCTGTGGAAAATCAATAAAATATTTTTTAATTAAAAAAATAAAATAAACAGCTGCTCATTTGTTATTGAGCATGTCACATGACTTTCCCTGATTTGCTTGTTTTGCTACTAAATAATTACCAAGCCATCTCAAACCACACATACCTACTATTAGCTAACTTTTTTAATCTGATATAAACCAGGTACATAAGGAGAACGAGCAAGAATGAACAACACATTCCACTAAATTTTTAAACATTTGTTAGGTATAAACCATTCATGAACTGTCTCTCTTTCCCCTAGCATCTTTGAAGAAAGCTAAGGACTTAAATTAAAATAAAATCATAAGCACCTTACCTGAACATGTCTGACACATCTACAGTTGCCAGCCAAAAACTGTAGGAATTGGCATAGTAGTTGCAGGTACCCCGACCATGGCATTCAATGAAAGGAGCTGAACGAAACTCTTCTAAGCAGGAACCAGGGGAGGCCAGGGCTTGACCTGAGCCCTCTGCACCGGCACTTGTATGCTAGAAAAGAAAAGGAAAAATGTGCCATGACACTCATGTGCATACCTTAGTGGATTTTCAAAGATATGTGCTAAACTCGCCAAAAATTCAAATCTAGTGAAGGAACTAGGGTCACAGGTAAGAGAATAGTATCCACACTAAGGATACTCAACAAAAGCAACAGGCAGATTATAAAAAAATATGTTCTAGAAAATGTGTGAGGGGGAGCAAAGTGCTTGGACAGCAGCTATTTGAGGTCAAGCTTCTTATTATGCAAATGACAGGGATTATTCATATTGGGAAGAAATGTTGATATGATGGACAGATAGCTATGATAACAAAGACAAGAAAGCATGTTTCATACCATCATGAAGGAATAGCCAATCCAAAGAGAATCCCATCCCTGAGGACAACGAGGAATCTGGATGGTCTGACTGTGAACCGCAATCACAACAGCTGGAGCTTCACACACTGCACATCTAGTAAGGGAAGGTAAGAGGGAATATAATCTACAGAGTCAATATGTGGGAAATAGCATTCTCTTTTCTTTGGCCACTATCTTGGTATAGAAACTGATTAAGATGTCTTCAATGCTTAGAAAAGGAAGAGAAAAATGCACTTTGAGAATTGCTTTTGCATAAGCCTTGTCTCCTATAACAAAGTTATAAATAAAAATTATTTTTTTTCAAGAAACTAAAGAATCACTGCTGTAGCATTTTCATTTTCCATTCTGCCATATATTCATACTTGTTAAAGTCAATGCCATAATTCCTATAAGAGGTTGGCTTAGTGTATTGCACATACTGTTAAAGTGCCCAAATGAAAGGTAGGCATTTAGTAATGCTGAAACATAGTAAGAACAATGTCTGGTAAACTAGAAAAAGACAAGAAACAGATGCTTTCTCAATTCCCACCCAGTGTCCTTGGTCCAAGGATATTTGTTAACCATTTGGCCTATTTGGAGAAGTACTACATAACAAGAATGCTAGGCATGTACCCAGACACTTGTAGATATGGCTTAAATCTACTAGTATAAAATCAAGCAAAATAGCAACAAAGTAAATATAGCTTAGTTTACCAAGTCCATAATAAAGAACATGAATGGACTTCTGAAATACTGAACCAACGAGCAAAATTTATCTACAAAGGAGGTAATACCTTTAGGGGACCTTTTACTCCAAATAATTGGGACAAAGATCACAAAAAATGAATTTCCATAGTATCTACACACCAAGAATATTCAACAAAAAGGATCTTGGAAAATGAATTTAAAAAGGGCATCCTGAACCTGAAGCCGGACGACAAACACAGCACTGGCACGGGCTCAGGCTCCAGTGGCACCCTGGAGGACGAGGTCCTCACACTGTTCGTCAGTGGCCTCCCTGTGGACATAAAGCCCAGAGAACTCTACCTGCTCTTTAGGCCGTTCAAGGGGTACAAAGAGTCCCTGATCAAACTCACATCGAGACAGCCTGTTGGTTTTGTGATCTTTGACAGCCTGGCAGGAGCAGAAGCAGCCAAGAATGCGTTGAATGGTATCAGCTTTGATCCCGAGAAGCCGCAGACCCTGAGACTAGAGTTTGCCAAAGCCAATACCAAGATGGCCAAGAACAAGCTAATGGCTACACCGAATCCCACCAGCGCTCACCCCACCCTAGGAGCACACTTTATCACACGGGACCCCTATGACCTGATGGGGACTGCTCTGATCCCCACGTCCCCAGAGGCCTGGGCCCCCTATCCTCTGTACACCACAGTGCTGACCCCGACTATCTCACATGCTGCGTTCAGCTACCCAGCTGCCACTGCTTCTGCCGCTGCCCTGCACGCTCAGGTGCGCTGGTACCCTTCCTCCGACTCCACCCAGCAAGGATAGAAGTACCTTCAGTTCTGTTAGTTTCTCAGTCTTGTTACCACAGCTTGACGCTCCCGCCCCCCGCTGGGGAGGAAGCTGCCCGCTGGCCCGCAGCTTCCACTGTCCCCAGCGGCTGGGGGAGAGCTGTTGCTTTCCTCCAAAGACTGTGAATTTTAAGCCTGACTCAGTGGACTGCTTCCTGTTCCTCTCTGTCCTCTCCCCCAGCCCTGTCCCGCCCAGAGCCCTCCTCCAAGGCCTCCGAGGAGGGTTCTGGAACACCTGGACCAGGTGCTGAGGCCTCCCTGGGGCCACGCGAGGCCCGACCTCCCGTCCAAAAACTTGCTTTTTGTAGCTTCACCTCGGAGAAACAAGGCGTTTGATTTTGCATGCTTTCTGGCATTAATTAAGACACTTACACTTGTGTATATTTGAGTGTACTGTTTGTTCTCACACTGTGTCACCATAGCAACAGGTCCTGGCCTTTAATGGTTCATCATTCCTGGTCCCTCTCTCCACACACCTGGTCCCTCTCCCCTGCACCCACCCTGCTCCTGTGAGGCCTGCCAGTTCGACCAATTCCACCGCCCCACACATGTCCCAGCTGAACAGTGATGGCCGCCCTGCAGAGGGTTTCCTTTTTCGTTTCCCATCCGGGTCCCCCACTCCCTCCTCCGAGGGGCCGGCCACTGTTCAGAGAATCCCCTCTGCCCTTCCTGCTCACCTCTCCACAGCACACCCCACCCCCACCATTGCTCCTCATTCCTTTCAAACTACAATACCAACCAAAAAGTGAAAGTATTTTTGTACCCTGTGTAAGAAAATATTTATGCATCATAAAGGATTTTTCATGTGAAATAAATAAACAAACAAATAAAAGGGCATCCTGAATATGCTATTAAGAGGGGCTGGACTAGATTTCACCTTTATATTCAAGGGAGAAAAAATAGATTTTTCAATAATTCATCCTTTATGATTGCTGGATTCCTAGATAAATTGGGTTATGATCAGAATGAAAATGACAATATCTAATATTCCTAGGGTATCAAGTTAAATTAGCGTTCTAACCTGACAAAAATCTAGAAATCTAGAAGATCTCTTTAATGGTACCACCCTCCTCTTTTTAAATCATACTCCAAACTTCAGGTATCATTTCCTCCTTCCCTGCCAAATCCTATCTTATTCTATTAAAGTTATACATGTACCCCACTGAGAGTTCCATCCACTCCTGCCAAGATTATTGCATTAGTTTCAATCTAACATCTATCCACTTCAAGACTATCCTCTCTGTAATCCATGTTACATACCAATGATTCTGTATTCTTCCCTAAAATGAAGATAAAGAACTTTTCAGGGCTCCCCATTATATACCAAATAAATTCCAAACTAAAATCACACAGTAAATGTCTGCTACCATCTGGGTCCAAGCTAACTACCCAATCAATTTCCCTTCTCACTATGAAACCTTTACAATCTACATTCTAAATACATCAATCTACTACCCATTTCCATGTTCTCTGCCTTGTATGTCATTCCTCCTTATAGCTGCTTGTGTCTCAAGTCTATCCCATCCTTCAAAGACTTGCTAGTTCCAACACATTTTTTTCATATAGTCACTCCAAATTCTCCAGTTAGAATTATACATCCCTTTATCTATGCTCTCATAACATTTTTATTGGACCTATTGCAACACTTAGCTCAAGTCTTATACATATTAGATTAATTTATGTGTATTTGCCTCATGACTAGACTGTAAGCTCTTTGTATATTGCACTATGTCTATCAGGAGGCTTGGTCAAAACAGATAACCAATAAATACAAATAAAACTAAATACTGAATTAAATATTATAAAGACACCTCTATTCTACCTAACCTGGGAGAAGTTTGATCAGATTATTAGTTTTGGACTTATTTCTAACCAGCTAAACCTGTGGTCGGCAAACTGCGGCTCTCGAGCTACATGCGGATCTTTGGCCCCTTGAGTGTGGCTCTTCCATAAAATACTATGGCCTGGGCAAATCCATTTTGAAGAAGTGGTGTTAGAAGTTTAAGTTTAAAAAATTTAAACTTAAATTGGCTCTCAAAAGAAATTTCAATCGTAGTACTGTTGACATTTGGCTCTGTTGACTAATGAGTTTGCCGACCACCTACCATATTTTCCAGCGTATAAGACGACATTTGAAACGAAAAAAAGTCAACCGAAAATCGGGGTCGTCTTATACGCTGAGTATATCCTGAAAAACGTCTCGATATGCCGCTAAACGAATTTTCCAACTCAATCCCGCACCAATCACTGCAAGGCTGCTTGGACCGCCTCTCTAACTCAGCCAATCCAAGCAGGCTTTTTATGCATGCAAATTATACATGTTCTGTACCTGAAGCTACACTGTGTTCTAGTAAAAAGCCTGCTCAGATTGGCCAGAGTCAGAGAGGCGGTCTATTATAACCTTTGAACCTTTGCTTGTTGTGATTGGCTCACCGTGGTACATACAGTTGCAGCACAGGAACGTTCTGTGTAGCCAAAGCTGCTGTAACAGGACACATACAGTGAGTTAAAAGGTACCGTAATAGAACATTCTGTGTGTAGCTGAAGCTACAGTACTGTATAACCCCGGCCTAAAAGATTAGTGGGTGTACAACAAATGGCTGGTAGAAAAGAACCCATCATGGCTCCAGCAAGAAGAAGGAAATTTGAAGCCAGTTTCAAACTGAAAGTTGTAAACTTTGCCAAGGAATACAATAACTGTGCTGTGGCAAGAAAATATGGAGTAACAGAAAAGATGGTCTGAGACTGGAAAGCAAATGAAGATGCATTAAAGAGTATGCCAAGGAGTAAGTGTGCATTAAGAAGAGGCACCTCTTATTGGCCAGAACTCGAAAAGCATGTAGCAGACATGGTTCTTGAGCATCGTCAAAATGGTTATGTAGTGACATGAAACAAAATACGTATGTTTGCACTTCAGTGGGCCAAATCTAACCCAGATAACAGAAAAGGATTTAAGGTCATTGTATCCTGGAGTACTAGGTTCTTGGAAAGGCACAATATGGTACTGAGGCAAAAGACCAAAATTGCACAAAAATTACCTGCAGATCTTGACAGCAAAGTAAGTCTTTTCCATCAATATGTAATACAACAGCACAAGCAACATGGCTATGCATTAAGTCAGATTAGAAATATGGATGAAACTCCTATGAATTTCAATATGGTTGGAAATAAAACTGTTAATCCAAAAGGTGCAAAAACAGTGTTAATTAAAAACAACAGGACATTAGAAGTCCAGTTTTACAGTGGTACTAGCATGTACAGCTGATGGTGCCAAACTAAGACCAATGATTATTTTTAAAAGAAAAACAATGCCAAAAATCAAGTTCCCTGTTGGAGTTTTTGTACATGTGAATGAAAAAGGATGGATGGATGAAGAAGGGGTAAAGCTATGGCTTGATAATGTATGGAGTAGGCGACCAGGTGGACTTCGTCAAGAACGTAGCCTACTGGTGTGGGATATGTTCAGGGCTCATTTAACTACCAGCACAAAGAACAGGCTGGCAAGAATAAACACAGATGCGGCAGTTATTCCTGGAGGATTGACATCATTGGTACAGCCACTGGATGTGTGCCTAAACAAGCCATTTAAAGATCGCATAAGAGAACAGTGGAATGAGTGGATGGTTACGGAGAAAAGTTATTCAGAAAAGGAGGAAACATGCGTGAGCCACAATTGGATGTTTTGTGTAACTTTGTCATAAAAGCCTGGAATGATATTACTGAAGAAACAGTAATTAGGTCTTTCAAGAAGTGTGGCATATCAAATTCTTTGGACAGTATGGAGGATGACTTCTTGTGGCAAGATGAAGGGGAAGCCGAAGCTGAAGCCACACCATCTGATTCAGAATTTGATCTATATGATGACTGTTTTACAAATGTACCACAAGAGTTCATTGATGAACTTATGATGTCAGAAGAAGAACACGATGAGGATTTTGAAGGATTTTAAGCTCACAATGCTCCTCTGCCTAGAAAAACCTCTTATCATCCCAGTCAGTCACAAACAAGCGTTTTCTGCAAGTTCTTCATGTAATTTTCTTTCCAGATGATGCCATCATTGTTAATGTTCTTTTTTGGATTTCTTGTTTCTCGGTCAAGTTCATGGCATTGCATTTGTGAAGAGATCTTCCATTTATCGTATCAATGTACAGTATATTACGGTATGTTCGAAAAATGTCATTCATTAAAAATTTAATTTAAAAAAGAACTGGTGTTGCCTCGGAAGTGGAGGGTAGTCTTATACAGTGAATATAGGACTAAACCCATGTTTTAACTGTAAGATTAGGGGGTCGTCTTATACGCCAGAAAATACAGTAGCTAAACCAATTGAGGATTAGAACAAGTCAAAGCTATGCCAATTTCTTACCGACTAATGAATGGCTGGATGCTCTGGCCCTTCAGGGGCTCCATGTTCATTGGCATGGGCTCTGGAGTGGAGAGCCAGTAAGAATAGTCATTTCTTGAAGCAAAGTTACAAACATTGTTGATGTTGCAGAACATGAAAGGCATGGTACTGAAGCGACGAAGGCAGCTGCCAGCTGTCCCTAGAAAGAATTAGGGAGTAAAAGAAAACAAAGAACTTCATCAGGATGATACTTTAGTTTATTCTAAAATAGTAACGACCTTTAAAAGAAAAACTTGACCACATTTTTTTTCTCTCTCTCTCTCTATATTTTTTTAAATATATATTTTATTGATTTTTTACAGAGAGGAAGAGAGAGGGATAGAGAGTTAGAAACATTGATGAGAGAGAATCATCGATCAGCTGCCTCTTGCACACCCCCTATTGGGGATGTGCCCTCAACCAAGGTACATGCTCTTGACCGGAATCGAACCTGGGACCCTTCAGTCTGCAAGCCAACACTATATCCACTGAGCCAAACTGATTTTGGCTATTTAAAAAAATATATATATTTTAATTATTTGAGAGAGGAAGAAGAGAGATAGAAAAATCAATGATGAGAGATAATCATTGATCACACTTCTTAGATAATAAATGTGCAGGGGTGGGCAATAGTAGGTTAACAGTTGTTAGTACATGAAACAAGTTTATTCTGCTATTATTATTCATTAATTATTGTATTATTTTTTATATGAACAACTGCAAACCTACTTTTGCCCAACCCTGTACTTTAATTCTTCAATTATAAAATGCACATTTTAACATTTCTAGATTCAAGTTATATATTATAACTAGAGGCCTGATGCACAAAATTGGTGCAACTGGGGTGTGTGTCCATCAGCCCAGCTTGTACCCTCTCTAATCTGGGACCCTTAGGGGATGTCCAACTGCCTAAACTGGCAGTCAAACATCCCTCTCACAATCCAGGACTGCTGGCTTCCAATTGCTCAACTGCCTGCTTGATTGCTCCTAATCACTTCTGCCTGCCAGTCTGATCATCCCCTAACCACTCTCCTGCCAGCCTGATCAATGCCTAACTGCTCCCCTGCCAGCCCAATTGCCCCCAATTGCCCTTCCCTGCTGGCCTAGTTTCCCCTAACTGCCCTCCCCTGCAGGCCTGATCCTCCCAACTGCCTTCCACTACTGGCCTGGTCACCCCTGTCTTTCTCTGTTGGCCATGTTGTGGTGGCCATCTTGTGACCACATGGGGGTGGCCTTCTTGTGAAAGGGTATGATGGTCAATTTGCATATTGCTTCTTTATTATATAGGATTCCTTTTCACATACAGAAATCATCCACACACCACATGTTTTGTAACGCCTAACTGCCCTCCCCTGCTGGCCTGGTCACCTGGCCTGGTTGTCCCCAACTGCCCTCTCCTGTAGGCCTGGTCGCCCACAACTGCCCTCCCCTCCTGACCATCTAGTGACCACATGAGGGCAGCCATCTTGTGCAAGGGCATGATGGTCAATTTGCATATTGCCTCATTATTATATAGGATTTATGTAGACATTTATTGTGGTAGCTAATTATATATTCCCCAACACTTTTTAAACTGGTGTTGTCTTATGAAGAATATTGGGTGATTTATTCTGGACAAGTGAAGAGCACAAACTGAGTCCTTATAATATCATATAAATATTTCCTCTCTAGGCTTCGCTCTTTTCTTATAAGTCATCCAAAGGATGTATCTTGTGTGGCTTTGTAATGTCTTTAAGACTAAGGACAATTATAGTGCTGACCAATATACATAGCAACCAAAGACAGGTTTTCAGGTGAATAATAAAAAGGAAAAAATAAGATATAAAGATAAATAAAGGAAGGATGTGAGTGCAAGAGAAAAGAAATAGAGCTTTTGAATTTCTGGGCTGGTAGGGGCAATAGAGGTTATCTGTACCAGTGTGCTTTTCTTTTCTCATTTACGCACAAAAAGAATCATGAAAAATGATGTACCTTCACACATTTTTAAGTTGATATCCAAAATTTTCATCAGAAGTTTAAATTGATACTGTTCTAATAATTAAGATTTATATTTTATTATCTCTGGGTTCTAGACCAAGGTGACCAGATCGTCCAGGTGTTGGCGGAACAGTCCTGATTTCTAACAATTTTTCCCACATCCCGCAGCATTTTTAAAAAGTCCCAATTTTTGGAAAGATTGGAAACATTGGAAAGATTCTTTCCAAAAATCGGGACTTTTTAAAATGCCACAGGATGTGGGAAAAATTGTTAGAAATCAGTACTGTCCCGCCAACACCTGGACAATCTGGTCACCTTATTCTAGACCCACTTCTGTACACTATGTTATACTGGATGATGGGGCTTTGCAAACCACATTTCAAACTTGCAAGTTATCCTTTCTAGTGTTTGGTGACTATTTATATTTAAAAAAACCAAAGGTTTTTATATCACTTTTAAATGTATACAGTGTGATAATTGAAATCTAAACTAAACATTTTAAAAAGTATATAAATTGGTTTTTAGCAATTCAATGCTCCTGTTGCATTTAGAAATGATACTTCCATTATACCTCTCACACAGTTTTATCCTAATATATTTTTTACTTTTGAAAGTAAAAAATTTGCATATTTTTCAAAGTCTTTTATTGATCACCTTATCATAATCATCTGAAAAAAATTACATAACTTAAAAATATTTTTATAAATATATATTTTTATTATTTACAGCATTACAGATGAACCCCTTTTCCAACTTTTTGTCCACCCCTATACCACCCCAGGCCTTCAACACACTATTGTTTGTGTCCATGAGCTATTCATATAAGTCTATAAATTCTTTAGTTAATCTCTCCCTGTCCTCTGAAGTATGTCAATATGTTCCATGTCTCCATGCTTCTGGATCTATTTTGTTAATCAATTTATTTTATTCATTAGATCCCACAAATAAGTGAGATCAAGTGATATTTGTCTTTCTCTGAATGGCTTATTGTACTTAGCAAAATAATCTCCAGGTCTGTCCATGCTGTCTCAAAGGTAAGAGATCATTCTTTTTTTACAGCTGCATAGTATTCCATTGTATAAATGTACCACAGCTTTTTTATCCAATCATTTCCTGATGAGCACTTGGGCTGTTTCCAAATCTTAGCTATCTTCATAATAAAAGAGTAATATGCAAATTTACCATACCTCCACTACACCCACAAGCCATGCCCTCCAGCCAATTAGGAGCGAGTATGCAAATTAACCCAACCAAGATGGCTGTGGCCACAAAGAGCAGGAGAGTTGAGTTGCCCCTGGAGATGGAGGAAGCCAAGATCCTGCAGCCTTGGCCTGCCTTGGCCTCCGCTTAAGGCTACAAAATTTCAATTATAAAAGATAAATAAATTCCAACAAAAATGGCTACGAGAGGCAGGCTTGGCTCTGCTCAAGGCTACAAAGTTTCAATTATAGAAGATAACTAAATCCCAGATCCCAGGGCCTCCACTTGGGTCACCAGGGGGCATGGCCAGCCTGCAAACCACCACAGGCCCCTCACCCCAGCCATCCCTCACCCTAAGGGAACCCCCACCCTGATCTGGGACACCATTCAGGGCAAACCAGCTGGCCCCCACCTGAGCAAAAGGCCTCTATCTTATCTAATGAAAGAGTAATTTACAAATTGACCATCACTCAAACACACAAGATGGCTGCCCCATGTAGTCAAAGATGGCTGCCCCCATGTGAACACAAGATGGCCACCACAATATGGCCAGCAGGGGAGGGCAGTTGGGGGGAACCAGGCCTGCAGGAGAGGGCAGGTAGGAGTGACCAGGCCTGAAGGGGAGGGCAGTTAGTGTCAAACAGGCTGGCAGGGGAATGGTTAGGGGGTGATCAGGCTGGCAGGCAGAAACAGTTAGGGGCAATCAGAAAGGCAGGCAAGCAGTTGGGAGCCATCAGTCCTGGATTGTGAGAGGGAAGTCTGATTGCCCATTTAGGCCCGATCCAACCAGGATTGGGCTTTAGCAGGCAGTCAGACATCCCATGAAGAGTCCCAGACTGGAGAGGGTGCAGGCTGGGCTGAGGGACACCCCCTCCTCCGAGCATGAATTTCATGCACCAGGCTTCTATTTGTAAATAATGCTGCTATGAACATAGGGGTGCATATATTCTTTTTGACTGGTATTTCTGGATTCTTAGGATATATTCCTAAAAGTGGGATTGCTGGGTCACATGGCAGTCAACTTTCTGCAACAATAAGACTTTACATGTCAAATATTTTATTTTTAATTTTCATCATTACAGTTATTGTTAATTCATAAGAGATGAAAATATACATAAGTTTTAATAGTTACTAAATATAACTCTTATTGAAAAATCATTTCTTTTTGTTGTTGTTAATCCTCACCTGAGGATATTTTTCCCCATTGATTTTTAGAGAGCATGGAAGTGAAGGGGGGGGGGGGGAGAGAGAGAGAGAGAGAGAGAGAGAGAGAGAGAGAGAGAGAGAGAGAGAGAGAAAGAGAGAGAGAGAGATTAATGTAAAAGAGACACACTGACTGGTTGCCTCCTGCACATTCCCCAACTGGGCTGGGGATTCATCCTGCAACCCAGGACTAGGAATTGAACCAGGGACCTTTCCTTGCATGGACTGACACTTCAACCATTGAAATGATTGAGCAACACTCGCCAGGGCAGAAATGCATTTCTTAATGAGATCAATTAGAAGTGAATAATAGAACCTCAGTTAATAGAGCCTTTAACCTGTTAACCGAGCGGGACGTATAAATATGTCAAACGTAAACAATATCAGGTACGGGTAGGACATATGAATACGTCCTTGAAATATATGTTGCACCCTGAAACGGGCGGGACTATATTTCCGAACAACAAAGGTATTAGTCATCCATACATGTCTCAACATGAATTTAAGACACGGAAGGAATCAGTATAATTTCCCTATTGAGAGTGGTGGACGTGTTCTGGGTGAGCAGTGACAGGTACGTACTTACACTTACCTACCTATTTTTGTATTATATATAATTTACTTATATTTTTTATATCTCCAACCTTTATATAATAGAAAAACATATAAAATTGATCCAATCATCAATAATTTGTCAGAAAAGTTTAAAAGTTTTTATGTATGTGAATGAGAAATATGCGTAGATGAATCTCTTTTATTATGGAAAGGGAATTTATCTTG